ATGAATAGTACTGATATCTTGCTCACTATCAATGTCATGCACGTCATCAGCGCCACCAATGCAACTGAAAGGTTCCGTACCGTCTACAAATATAACCATATAATTAAAATTGAACCATACGATAAGCAAACTATGACGACATGATAATTTCAGGCGCCACACCAATAAATACTTTTATTAGCAGAATAAGTAACCTGATAATTGTTGTAAGTCATTACTATAGGTTGACTGCCTATGGAGCCAGTCACTATTTTCGTCTGTTTCATTATGTGTATTCGCATCTGCAAGTTTAAATATAGTAATTGTTATTAATTATAACGCGTATGGCAATTAAAATGACACTTAGGAATACCACCATACCTATTGAATGGGCAGCCATATTGTTTTCAAGATCAACATTCTCTTGGTTACTCATCTTATACCTCTGACTGGGTTTCTTGTTTCTTTCACTCCCCTTTTCATCAAACATTGTTGCATACCGTTCTCTCTCCCTCTACCTCTTTTGCTCATTATGATCCCTATCTAGTGGCACCAACCCCGATTGGGTATGATTCCCTTCAATAAAGTTTGGTCAGTAGTTGAAAACATATAAACATAGAACATGTAGGGAGGCTGTAAAAGTTTATATACATGTGTTGTATTTGTAAGGTCCCCCAAAGGTACCCGATAACAGGTTGGCCTTGGTGTGTCCATCAACACTACCTGTCACTTTTAGCACCACCCCAGATTAGAGAACACCAGTTAGAGAACAAATGGTTGGATACATTTCTGTTTATAATGTTCAATATACCACCAACCAAAAAAGGGTATACATTTCTGTTGCTAATGTTCAAGATTTTTTTCTTTCTTTTAAATTTTTCCAATTAGAGAACAAATGGTTGGATAGTTTCGAATACTTGCCTTTCAGGTTAGGCTCTTGAACCAAGGACATATTATTGAAACTATTAAAAATAGGAAAAGCTGATGAATTCTAAACTCAGGTAATTATTTGGCTATTTGGTACTGTGTATCTTCAATAATGTCTACCTGCCTCTATTACTTATGCCCATACAAATCCGGAATACTTGTGCCAATGTAAAATTGCAAATCCCTGCACCTATAACATACCTAGTGCTCTGGCTTTTGTGCAATTGAGTTTAAAGTTTTTCCATGTTTGTATTGTGTTAGATTTGTATCGGTGATTTGAGTAGACACATTATATTTTGATATTTCTATGAGTCTATTATCCCACATCCATTGTTAGGTGGCATCTCTTCGTAAGTATGTGCATAGGCAAGGTATGCTTTCTTTTTTAAAAAGAAAAAGAAAAAAGGGACTTACGGAGGAATACTTTGAAGAAGTTGAATATATCTAAACAGAAACTATTCTGTGTAGTGATGTGCTCAAGTTCGTAAAATCTGTCAGTATTTCATTGACTTTTGTTCTGGATGCTATCTAAATTCAGCCTTCAACTGCTCTGCTATAAGCAAAACAAAGTCTGATCTATGTCCATTCTTTTTTGTCCATTATTTTTTGTCATGTACAGAATCGATCAGCACCACCCCAGATTCAGATTGAGATGCGAAGTACCAGGGAGACGACGCCCTTGCTGCAGTTGATGAGGTCCAGCACGCGTCCAGGAAGCACGACGACTCGACGTTGCCTATGGACGTTAGGGCGAGCCACGCCTCGTCCTCGAATCTGCGGCACCGGTTTGTCGGCAGCCGGGGAGGGAAGATGAGCAATGATGCAGTGTATTGAAATCCAATTCAAAATGTAAAGGCTAACAATTGAAAGTGTCGATACAGTCAGAGTGCGTGGAGGCTGTAAATTGCGGGCGGAAATGATGCGTTGGGGTGGATGGAGTTGACGGGAGGCGGCGGCGGCGGCGGCCTTCCTAGCAGATGCTGTGGTTGAATATGTGGCAGAGATGATGCGTTGCAGTTGAATATGTGGCATTTTTTCTTTGCAAATTGAATTTTTAGAATGCCTTGCAGTTGAATTCATTTGTGATGCAGGTATTGTTGCGGGCATGTTGTCCATGAGCCCGACAAAAAAATAGGCACAGTTTTTATGCATCTGAGGCTAAGTCTAGTGCTATACCACTATGTTTTACCTGTTCCAATAGGTCTATCTAGTTGCATTGCTGTCATTCCTCATAAACTAATTGAACTATTTTTTTCAAAGCAACCTAATGTCTGCCTTTGCCTAAAACACAAGCACAGGACACACATTGGTATATTGTCAAACAGGAGGTGAGCAAGCAAGTTACCTGAACAGGTGATAGATCACGATTGCTACTGAAGGGAAGATGGTGGTGCTGTTCAGCAGGGATTCAAGCTGGTGAGGATAGTGCAATAGCAAAAGTTGTGGAAGCTTAAATTTTGTTATCAATTATATACCAATATGGCTATAAAATAGACTGAATAAACACATAAATAAGTTAAAGAGATAAAAATAACTAAATCAAAGGAACATTTCAAGGCATCAATTATCTCATATCTTCCAAACCACAATATATGCCAAGCACTCAAGAAGAATAGTAAAGTGCCTGCAACTGCAGGGCCAAGCTACTAAAAAATTATCAGGACCTATCAAGTGACTACTGAAAGTTTCACTATGTTTCAGAGTTTCTGCCCTAGTCTCTCATTCAGGTAACATGATAATATCACAATAATATCATAGTTTTCTTTCCAAGTGTGTATGGTCAAATGAAAAAAATTAAACAGGCACCGAAATCATGGTTGCCTCTCTGAGGAAGGATCTGCAAGCCTTTCCTGTGATCAAGCATTCTCAGATCTATATGTTCTTAAAATAAATGCGTTAACCCAACATCTGTGCAGGTACTCAAGGTGTACTCCTATTTACTGATAAGATAATGAAATCCAAGAAAGAACGGTTACTTTAGCACAAATACTGAGATTAACCTAACCATCGACAGAAATTTAAATTATTCTGAGACTACAGAAACCTTGATAAACATTTTATCCACGCCAACTCATAGTTCCTAACTGGTTATATCAAACTATTTTCTTGACTTGTAATATGTTTTTCATAATTTCACACATTATACCAAACTATTACTGAACTATGGTTGTACTGATGTTGAAGCACATGTCATAATTTTCAGAAAAAATAAAGCTAACCAGATCATGGATGTAGATATACCTGTTTTGATTTCCACTTGTAATTCCTGAGTCTCTACATGCAGTAAAAATTAATTCTTAGGCCAGAACCAGAAAAAGATGGAGCGAAGAGCAGGGATACATGTTTTGCATTCAGTCAATCCAACGTTATTCAGTCAATGTCATTTCTATATAATTTTCAGTTAATCCTACCATTCACAGGTTTCTCACATCTAATCAGGACTCAAGGTGATGTCTTTTTTATGGCAGTCTAAACTGTTTGCTTACTCTTATATCTCCATTATCGAATACTCTCACATCTAATCAGGACTCTTACGCACTCCAAATGTAGAAAAGCCATGGTATAAGCAGCAGGGCTGGGACTCGTAAGGATGGCAATGCATGTACTGGTCATCTAATCAGGGCTCTTACTGTCACATCTTTAGGTTTTCAGAAAACTCACTGCTGCCTGTCAACTGCAGTTTTCTGAAAACCTGGAGATAGAAAGAGGTGTTGTTGTTGTTTACAATTGTGTACGGCCGTACATGATCCTTGCCAGCAAGTGGGTTGACAACCAAGGTGGGGATCTCGTCCATGAGCCCGACAAAAAAATAGGCATAGTTTTTATGCATATGAGGCTAAGTCTAGTGCTATACCACTATGTTTTACCTGTTCCAATAGGTCTATCTAGTTGCATTGCTGTCATTCCTCATAAACTAATTGAACTATTTTTTTCAAAGCAACCTAATGTCTGTCTTTGCCTAAAACACAAGCACAGGACACACATTGGTATATTGTCAAACAGGAGGTGAGCAAGCAAGTTACCTGAACAGGCGATAGATCACGATTGCTACTGAAGGGAAGATGGTGGTGCTGTTCAGCAGGGATTCAAGCTGGTGAGGATAGTGCAATAGCAAAAGTTGTGGAAGCTTAAATTTTGTTATCAATTATATACCAATATGGCTATAAAATAGACTGAATAAACACATAAATAAGTTAAAGAGATAAAAATAACTAAATCAAAGGAACATTTCAAGGCATCAATTATCTCATATCTTCCAAACCACAATATATGCCAAGCACTCAAGAACTGAAATCATGGTTGCCTCTCTGAGGAAGGATCTGCAAGCCTTTCCTGTGATCAAGCATTCTCAGATCTATATGTTCTTAAAATAAATACGTTAACCCATCATTCTGAAGCTTGAAATATATCAGGTCAACTGTGCAGGTACTCAAGGTGTACTCCTATTTACTGATAAGATAATGAAATCCAGGAAAGAACGGTTACTTTAGCACAAATACTGAGATTAACCTAACCATCGACAGAAATTTAAATTATTCAGAGACTACAGAAACCTTGATACGGTTGATCCAAATGATTTGAAGTGAAAGCATGCCCAATTAAACCTTTTTTTATATCACAATTGCTTACTCGATTTACTGGAAATCAAAATCCATTTTCTACAAAATTTATTTTGGCTGTACTAACATTCTCCTAGCAGCATGATTTCTATTTTCCTTAGCTCTTTATTTTCTTAGCCAAAACCAATGTTTAAAGACCAAAAGGCTAAAACCAAATAGATCTACTCTGCACACAACCAAAGAACTCAAACTGAATTCGAGCAACCAACAGATTTTTTCAGATGGGGTTACTCCATTTTTTTAGTAGATCCGAATTGTGCAGACGTTCTGCTAGGTGACTTACCGGCAAGGTGCGACGTGGGTAGCCACGGAGCACGATGGCGAGGGGTAGTCGGCGGTCGAGGGCTAGGGCAGTCGTGGTGCTTCGACGTCGTCCCGTTGCCCCGGGCGGGGGCAGTCGTGGCGCGACAGGATCTCCGGCGGCATTCGACGTGGCGAGGTGCTGATGCAGGCTCAGAGTGGTCTCCGGCGGCGATGGAGCGGTCGAGCTGGGAGCAGCGGGGGCGCCGGGGCTGGGGTTGTGGGGCCGCCGGGGTTGGGGCAAGGGAGCCGCCGTCGATCCGCCTGCTGGGACCTCGCCTCTCCCTCCACGGCGGGTTGCGACGGCCTCTCGCCAGCGACCGTGAAGAGGAGGGCGTGCGTCGGGCGAGGATGAGATACTCGCCGTCTCTCCCTCGGCAGCGGCAGGTGCGGGTTCTTCTCCTTCTCGGCGGACCAGTGGAGATGGCGATGATCATCGATCTGTTCCGCGGACTGCAGGGCGAGGGCGAGGGCGAGGTCGGTGCTGGCGGCGCTGATGGTGGGTGGCGCGCGACATCGTGTGCGAGGACACAGGATGGTGGCGGCGGTCGCAGGCAAGTCGGGATGGTGACGGGGCTGAGGGATCGGGAAGGAAGGCCAAATCCACCGCTTGACGCCAGGGTGAAGGTAAACTGACGGAGATTGCGGGGATGAAGAGGACCGACGAAGCCATGATTACCGGTGATTGGGTTCTTGTTGCCGGTGGTTGCAGGTCCCACCTGGCGGCCTACGGAGGCACGGAGCGTGGGATCGCAAGTTTCCACGGAGGCGACCCCAAACAAATGTCGCGCCAAAAAGTTATCTAGTTTTGTTCTTTTTAGTTGTAGGAGATATAATTCATAATAATATTGCGCTAGTATTTTTCAGATTTAAATTCAAAGCGTAGAAAATTTTCAGAATTAAAAGACAATTTGATTCAGAAAAATTAAAGCTAGGCAAAACAACAATTAAACTGCAGATTTAATGTTGTATATACAAACTCCATGAATATCCATCAACAGAGAATCTATGGTTAATTGTTTAGAAAACTACTATAAAAACTGAATTCTCAAGGGATTATATTCATAAACACTATGATTCTATAATTCCTAGAAAATATAGTGTTTACTCTACAAGAGTACGGGTCAAATACTTAAATTCTTCCGGAAACAGGAGCCTATCCGTCGTGTGCGCTTGTCCATTAATGGGCTTGCTATGGCCTGTTTCTCGATTCGATCTGCTAGTAGACTGGACGGTTATAGGGTTAAAATCCCATTCCCAAGCGAGGAAAACCGAAGGCGGTATGCAGACCGCGCTTGGTGCGTCGGGGGTTCGTCTGGCAGAGTTGGAACGATGCGGCTGCTGGCCGCACACGGTCGGTACGTACGCTGGCAGCTTGCAGTTGCAGGGTACCACCACGCGCGTGCAAGCGACTATGGCCGATGGATAATGGCGTGCAGGCCACAGAAAGTGGTACGTTGCAATTTAGGGGATGTTTAGTTCTACCACCTAAACTTTAGTCGATATCCTGTCAGATATTTAAACATATGCATAGAGTATTAAATATACTATTTACAAAACTAAATGCACAGATTAGGACTGTTTTGCGAGACAATTTTTTGAAGCCAAATTAGTTCATGATTTGATAATGTGGTGCTACAGTAAACATGTGCTAATAACAGATTAATTAGGTTTAATAAACTCATCTCTGCGGATTGCTAACGGGTATTTATTTTTTTATTAGTATATGAACTTTAGTCATGGGATCAAACACCCCCTTAGGCCAGATAGCGAGCTATTGCGGCATTCATGCCTGGCAGCCCCTGCACATACGATGCACATGCTTGTGTAGGAAGGCGATGCCGTAAACTCCATGGCATGCATGCCAGGAAGCAGCAAGATTCCTTTTTATGTTTAATCAACCCTATACACTACTCTAGATCCGGACAATACTGCCGGTTTAAAACACCCCATCACTCTCGGATTTTAAACCGACACAACTAAACTGACAGTGATGAGGGTTAGCTATCACTGTCGGTTCCTACAAACCGGCATTGTTCTGCAACTTCACTGCCGGTCATTTATATAACCCGGCAGAGTTTAGTTTCACCAACATTGTCGGTTCATAAGACCACCTGGTAGTGTAACCTCGAACATCACTGTCGGTTTATGTCTTTAACCGGCAGTGTTGTCGTAATCAGCACTGCCGGTTTGGGACAAGACCCGGCAGTGATGTCTAAGCCAACGCTGTTGATTTGTGGCTCAAGCCGACAGTGCCATCTTGTCCATCACTGTTGGTTTGTTGCTAACCGGCAGTGATGGTCTCGTCGTATTTTATTATTTTATAATTAATTTTAATTTATATTTTTTCGTGGAATCGGGTTTCGCTTTATATACGCTACGTATACAAGTCCATCAATATTTACATTATAAATGTTACGGTTACAGTTCAAATGTTCTTATTAAGATCTTGATCCCTCAAAATAAAAAAGAAATTATTCGATAAGATGAAGCATGTTTCTCGGACTTCTTACAATAATCTAGCGAGCCGCTCTGGGCCATACTGGTCCTTAAACTTCACAGATTGTGCAATGGAAAATACTCCATCTTTTTCTAATACCTCGGCTAAGATGAATTTTGTCAGCTCCGATTGCAGTGCGACGATCTCCATGTCTAACAGCCTTTCGTGGTTATATTTCTTACGCTGTCGTTTAAAAAAAATGATATCCAAAGATGAATCAGAAAATCATTTTGTTGAATTATTAACAGGCATAAATGAAATGTAAATTATACACACCAACTTATCTGCTTCTTTCGATTTTCCACCGATGTAGCGAAGCATTGCACACATTATATAAAACCCGCATTCGTTGTTTCCCGCCGGCTGTTTTAGGTACTTACCCTCCATTTCGACAACCTTGAATGTGACCTGCGTCCCACCGATATGTCTTCTTCGGACACTGTGCAACATTAAAAGGAGAAACATTAGAAAGCGGTATGTGTGATTAGAAAATAATATGTTATTAGGATCGCTTACAAATTCAGCACTGCCACCAGCGCATCCAGATGATGAAATAGTTTTTTCTTCGAGTCCCACACCTCGATCAGATTTTTAGCAAGATTAACACAAATGAAGACGAAATGGTTGCTGCAATCACATAATCCTAATTATCGAATAATCTTAACGAAAAAAGAAGCATAAAATTAAAAGTCGAGAACACATGCTCGTAGTTGTAGGCTAGAAGTATATGGGTTTTGTTCTTCATCTTGAATTCATCGAAAACAACAATCAATCTCTCTTTTAGGTCTTCCATGTCACATCCATGGAGGCCTAAACATGTCTTCTCATTGACTCGCAAAGGGTCCAAAAAGCCTATGTTATCCCATTTGCTTTTTAGTATGCAAAATTTTGCTATACACCTACATAAAATCATGGAAAGTGCTCAAAAGTTAACAATTTGTGTCTCGAGAGAGTAGTTAATTGTAATATCGTGTGTGTAGGGTACTTACATAGTCCACAGCGTCACCATTTGTGAATCGATAGAGCGTTTCTAGTATAGCTAGAACAAGCACTCCCACTCGACATCGAACTTCTCTTCTTCAGGATATTGAAACATATGTGGCGAACGGATAATAATCTCAAAACCAAAGTCCTCCGTCTCTGTTGCTTGAGCCATGTAATATTCATGCAACTGGCGCATATATTTTATCAAATTATTATACTCGTCATCGAGAACCAAAAGATTGCCCCTTTCATACTTCATTGCCGGTGTTCCCGTCCCTTGTACAATATAATAGATGTTCGCGGCCTCTTTCATGGTTAATTCAGAGTTGTCTTCGACGTACTTCTGTATCTTTCTTAAATCTTCATTGTGTATTTCTTCGTCTCTTATTGTAGCGTACTGATTCTGTGTTTGCCTTTCGAATTCGGACTTCAACAAACATGGAGGCAGTGAGGCACAGAGATTGAAGAAACTAACACAATCTTCCTTCGAGATATGTGCTGTAAATTTTTCTTTCATCAAGTTTGTAACGCTGTCACTGAATGGCCTTTTGTTTTTTTGTTGGTCCACTTTGGGAGCATTAGCGACCGAATCCAAGGACATTTTCTGCGACTGCGAGGATGCCTTTGATCTTGTTTTGGGCTGAGGTGGAGGAGGAGGAGGAGGAGGAGAAGGATGACGACGAGAATTTTGTTTTCTCGGGTCTGATGAAGATGGAGGAGGAGGAGGAGTCTTCTCTTTTCTCAGGGCTGATGAAGACGGAGTCAGATGAGGAGGAATAGAAGGAGACCTCTGTCTTCTTAGGGTGATGGCAAGGGATGAGGAGGGGAGTGATCTCTGTTGGGAGATAGTGAGTGATCATCGCAGGTGGGCGAAGACTCATAGTCGTCCTCATCATCAGAGGACAATTGATGGTCAAGCTTAATGAAGCGCTTGCGCTAGGCCACTTGAGAGCCCTTGTTATGACTAAGTTTTGGCATGTTCCGCTGTGGGGTACTCAATGTGTATCTTGTTATACTTCTTATCAAGTATTCTATCAATTGTGACACGAGCGTACCCCTGTGGAATTGGGCGATCATTAATGGTCCCGTCTCCCGTAGGCCAGGCCTGGCTGAGTGCCACCTTGTCCTTTGTCCATTCCTGATGTATGTACAACTTGACATTGACGGGTTCAGTGATGCCGTCCACCGGATGAGGCACATTCGCATCTTCTTCGTCGAGCGGGGTCGATCCGCAGCTGCTGCGACCCCTCAACTGTGGGCTAAAGGCAGTAGGAGTGGGGTTTTGTGGTACTCCTGACCTCTTGCATAGCAAAATTTGCTGGACTTACGCTTCAACAATCGCCTCAATCCGTGCGTCCATTATGTCTTCCATCTCTTTTAGTCACCTCAAACACTCTGCCTCCTATTCAGCTCTACACCTCGAGCGGCTCCGATAAATGTGAGATTCTTCGAGGAATGCTAGTTTTCAAAGAACAACACCGGTTCCTCTAGTGCGACCAGGGTGCTCCTTGGTTCCTAGTGCTTGGGCGAGCATGTCTTTCTCCCTATTAGAAGTGCGAGTCCCTTGCCTCACCTCCTCAGTTACCTGGGAGATCCTCTGGATGAGTTCGCTCATGGGTGGATTTGTGGAGCTAAAGCTCCCATCCTTGGCGTGGTGTACATTCCTCCCCATACAGTATATTACCGATCTTGACTCCCAATGGGTGGTCTCAACCTGAACGTCTTCCTCAGTAAGGTGATCAATCTTTTCAAGTTATGCTTCAAATTCTAGCATCTTTTTAGTGTAGCCACAAGAGCTGAGATGATGAGGATTCATCGCTTTCTCTGAGTCCTTATTCTTCCTGCTTAGTTCTAAGTACTCCTCGGATAACCTGTGTTCCTTAAAATCCTGCCATAAGTCCTTTTGCTTGCTAAACTGTCCACCATCGAAATCTGGCTCTTTATTTTGGGGACAAAATGCTTGTACAATGTCCCCTTGAAATTCTTGAAGCATGTCCCCATGATTTCTTTTGCTTTTTTCTTGACTACCTCCTTGTCATACTCCATTGGGAAAGTGAAATACTCTGGGATCTTGATATCCCATATGTAATTCTTCTCACTTTTGGGAACCCTCCACGGGTCATTATCTTTCTCAATCCACTTCCTGTATCTA